AGAAAGAATTATTCCTGTGATGGCAAAACTGAATTCCTTCAGCTGCTCAAGAAACATTTTTTTATTATTTTCAAAGTTGAAAACAGTTCTGCTGCTTAATATTTTTGTGAAAACTGTGGTATATTTTGAATGATTCTTTGAGGAATAGAAAGTTCAAAAGAACAGTGTTTATTTGAAACAGAAATAATTTGTAGCTTTATAAATATTTTAACTGTCACCTTTGATCTATTCTTAAAAGTCTTGGAAACTTTTTACCATGCCTATCATTTTCATTTATATATTGTTTAAAAATAACCAAAACAAAGAATTAAATATACCATTTCAATATTTATTGTATGAAAAATACTTCATAACATATACTAGTTGTGGTGTCATTGCCACTACACATTTTTTTTGCCCTATTTTTTCCCCCCATAGTGTGTTAGTGTACAAAATTATATTAGACGTGAGATTAGATATGAGACAAAATTAAAGTCAATTTCATAATATCTAAAATAGTTGTATTATTTCTCTCTGTGCTATTTCCAATTTGTCAAATTATGCAAAAATTGCATTGCAAAAAGATTATTCATTGTATTTTGAATATAAAAAATTCTAGCTGTGAGTTTGCCAGTTCCAACACAGAATGTTATTAAACACAATATATAATTTGAGATATGGAGTTGTTCTTGTTTCAGAAAAAAATGAAAAGCACCATGACAGTGAGTTTTGCATTTATACAACTTACATTTCTTAAGAAAATGTAAACATTTATTTATGTTATATGATGACCTTAAATAGAATTTTAGAGCTTAATAGAGATTTAGGAGATAATTAAACCATGATTAAAAAGAGGCAAAGTGCTTCAATCCCTCACGGCTTGTCGTGGTCGTGTGCTCTGCTCCGTCTCGGTGAGAGGCACAGAGGAGCAAGAGTGCTCTCCTTCTGCTCACTCCAGTTGGTGACATTTTACACTGACCCCTGGTGCTATCCAGTGTTCTGGTTTGTCATGACGCAACAGTTCAGACAGAGTGACAGTGGCACAGTTGTGGCCGAGCTGCAGGGTGTTTGACTGCGAAATGTGTCTGGGTCAGAGACGACAGCGTCCTGGTTGATTCAGCCTCCTGGGATCCTGATTTGGTCAAACCAGGCAAAGATTTTCATTTTCTGCGCTGGTTTGAAGGGAAAATACTGCACTCTCAGTACATGAAAGCATGACGAAAATAGCCAAGATATTAAATCAGTAAGTATGCAAGGCATTCCAATTGTGAGGAAATCTGCAGAGCTTTGTTTGGACCTGAGGATAAGCCACAGACATGAAAAGCATCGCTGCTGTGTCTGCAGTGTGGTCATCTCTAGTGTCCGCCCACAGCACTTATCCAATTATATGGCAGACTAATGACCAAAGTTACCATTCTCTCCTCTGCTAGTTCAGCTTTCTGAAGTTGTGACTGTTTAATGGCATCTCCTCCGATTTGGACTCAGTGTTCTGGTATATGGATTTCAGGTAAAGCTTGTTCATGCAATGCTGCCAATCACAACAATACGCCAGAGTCCTAAACAGGTGGGACACCAGGGTTTGTGCGCCATTTGAGGATGTTTTTTCAGTTCCAAATTAGTTCCTGAATGTAATTTAAATTCAAATTGATGTAGAAGACTTTAAAATGAACTGAAAAATAATTTAACTCATTTTTTAACTAGTTTGTCAAAATATACACTACCATTCAAACATTTGGGGCTAGTATGTATGTATATATTTTGAAAGAAATTCATAATTTTATTAAGTAAGGATGCATTAAAATTATCAAATGTAACAGACAGTA